TGGCGGTGAAGAAGAAAATATCATGGAGATCATTAGTCGCTGGTTGCTTAGGAGATCCAGAAATCGCATTGGCTTCTCCGAAGAAGATGAAGGGAAAAGATGACGTCATCAAGAAACAGAGCTCGTTCCAGAGACTTTCGATTCTGGATTTGAGCAACCCGAGTTCCAACACTTTGTCAGAGGATCTATCCATCTCTCTCGCCGGATCTGATCTTCACAACTTCACCCTCGCCGAGCTCAAAGTCATCACACAGAGCTTTTCCTCCACCAACTTCCTCGGTGAAGGAGGCTTTGGTCCTGTTCACAAGGGCTTCGTCGACGACAAGCTTCGTCCTGGTCTTAAAGCTCAGCCTGTCGCCGTCAAATTGCTCGATCTTGAAGGCCTTCAAGGTCACCGTGAATGGCTGGTCCGTACTTTGATTCATTCTCGTTGGGATTTTCTCTTAAAAATTTGGTTGTATGATGGATGATAATGAACTAATCTTTGTGGGTTTTCCTTTTCAGACAGAAGTCATGTTTCTGGGACAACTGAAGCACAAGAATCTGGTGAAACTGATCGGTTATTGCTGCGAGGAAGAACACAGGACTCTCGTCTATGAGTTTATGCCTCGTGGAAGCTTAGAGAATCAGCTTTTCAGAAGTGAGTCTCCCTCTCTCTCTACAGATATACATATATGTTTCCTTATAATTCAAGCAAGAACTTTATTTCTGAATCGAAATGATACTGAATTTCAGGGTATTCGGCGTCGCTTCCATGGTCGACGAGGATGAAGATAGCTCACGGAGCTGCAACAGGTGTTCAATTTCTCCACGAAGCAGAAAAGCCCGTCATCTATCGGGATTTCAAAGCCTCCAACATCTTGTTAGATTCCGTAAGCAAACAAACAAAACCTCCTTTAATCATCGTCCATTTTTTTTTCCATAAAAGTTCCCATCTCACCACTCTCTTGTTGTTTTCAGGATTACACGGCTAAGCTCTCTGACTTTGGCCTAGCCAAAGACGGACCAGAAGGAGACGACACGCACGTTTCAACGCGCGTGATGGGCACGCAAGGCTACGCAGCTCCTGAATACATCATGACCGGTCATCTAACGGCAAGGAGCGACATCTACAGCTTCGGAGTCGTGCTCTTGGAGCTGCTGACCGGACGCAGATCGGTGGACAAGAAGAGACCTTCGAGGGAACAGAATCTCGTGGACTGGGCTCGTCCAATGCTCAATGACCCTCGCAAACTCAGTCGAATCATGGACCCGAGGCTTGAAGGTCAGTACTCGGAGGCAGGAGCAAGAAAAGCAGCAGCATTGGCTTACCAATGCTTAAGCCACCGACCCAAGAACCGGCCTTGTATGAGCACTGTCGTCTCTATCCTCAACGATCTTAAGGACTACAATGATATTCCCATGGGAACATTCGTCTACACGGTGCCAAACACTCCCGACAAGTCAGTCAACGACAATAGGGACGACGAAGGTCGTGTCAAGGAAGGTAATAAGCCTCGTAAGAGTAATCATCATCATCGAGAAAGTAATCATCACCGGTCGTCGCCTACGGCTAAGTCGCCGGGGCAAACCGGAGGAAACCACCGGACAACTTTGAGAAATGGATTGAATTCGCCTATGCGAAGTGAGGCCGGTGGGGAACGGTACTGAGTTTTCTGGTCTCACCTACTCTTAAATTCC